GGAGGCTGAGACAGGAGAATTGCCTGAACCCGGGAGGCAGAGGTTGCGGTGAGCCGAGATCGCGCCATTGCACTTCAGCCTGGGTAACAAGAGCGAAATTCCGTCTCAAAAAAAGAAAAAAAAAAATTAAACAGAAAAAGACCTGGCTGGGCGCAGTGGCTCAGGCCTGTAATCTCAGCACTTTGGGAGGACGAGGTAGGCGGTTCATGAGGTCAAGAGACCAAGACCATCCTGGCTAATATGGTAAAAGCCCATCTCTTCTGAAAACAGAAAAATTATCCAGGCATGGTGGCGGGCGCCTATAGTCCCAGCTACTCAGGATGCTGAGGCAGGAGAATCACTTGAACTCAGGAGGCGGAGGTTTGCAGGGAACCAAGATGGCGCCACTGCACTCCAGCCTCGTGACAGAGCAAGACTCTGTCTCAAAAACAAAAAACAAACAAAAAAGACCACCTAAGCCAAAAAACAAACAAAAAAGACCACCTTGCCTGAATCAGGCAAGAAAAAGAAATAAAGGGTATTCAAATAGGAAAAGAGGAGGTCAAATTGTCTCTATTTGCAGACGACATGATTGTATATCTAGAAGACCCCATCGTCTCAGCCCCAAATCTCCTGAAACTGATAAACAACTTCAGCAAAGTCTCAGGATAAAAAAATCAACATGCAAAAATCACAAGCATTCCTATACACCAATAACAAACTTAAAGAGAGCCAAATCAAGAACGAACTGCCATTCGCAATTGCTACAAAGAGAATAAATACCTAGGAATACAACTAACAAGGAACATAAAGGACCTCTTCAAGGAGAACTACAAGCCACTGCTCAACGAAATAAGAAGACACAAACAGATGGAGAAACATTCCACGTTCATGGTTAGGAAGATTCAATATTGTGAAAATGGCCATACTGCCCAATGCAATTTACAGATTCAATGCTATCCCCATCAAGCTACCAATGACCTTCTTCACAGAACTGGAAAAAACCACCTTAAACTTCATATGGAACCAAAAGAGAGCCCGCATAGCTAAGTCAATTCTAAGCAAAAAGAACAAAGCTCCAGGCATCACACTACCGGACTTCAAACTATACTACAAGGCTACAGTAATCAAAACAGCATGGTACTGGTACCAAAACAGAGATACAGACCAATGGAACATAACAGAGGCCTCAGAGGCAAAACAACATATCTACAACCATCTGATCTTTGACAAACCTGACAAAAACAAGCAATGGGGAAAGGATTCCCTGTTTAATAAATGGTGTTGGGAAAACTGGCTAGCCATGTGCAGAAAGCAGAAACTGGACCCCTTCCTGACACCTTACACTAAAATTAACTCCAGATGGATTAAAAACTTAAACATAAGACCTAACACCATAAAAACCCTAGAAGAAAATCTAGGCAAAACCATTCAGGACATAGGCATAGGCAAGGACTTCATGACCAAAACACCAAAAGCATAAACAAATAGGACCTAATCAAACTCCACAGCTTCTGCACGGCAAAACAGTCATTAGAGTGAATCGGCAACCAACAGAATGGGAAAAAAATTTTGCAGTTTACCCATCTGATAAAGGGCTGATATCCAGAATTTACAAAGAACTAAAACAGATTTACAAGAAGAAAACAAGCCCATTCAAAAGTGGGCAAAGGATATGAACACTTTACAAAAGACGACATACATGAGGCCAACAAACATGAAAAAATGCTCATCATCACTGGTCATTAGAGAAATGCAAATCAAAACTACATTGAGATACCATCTCACGCCAGTCAGAATGGCAATCATTAAAAAATTTGGAGACAACAGATACTGGAGAGGATGTGGAGAAACAGGAACACTTCTACACTGTTGGTAGAAGTGTTCATTGGGAGTGTAAATTAGTTCAACCATGTGGAAGACAGTGTGGCGATTCCTCAAGGACCTAGAAATAGAAATTCCATTTGACCCAGCAATCCCATTACTGGATATATATCCAAAGGATTATAAATCGTTCTACTATAAGGACACATGCACACGAATGTTCATTGCAGCACAGTTTACAATAACAAAGACCTGGAACCAACCCAAATGCCCATCGATGATAGACTGGACAGGGAAAATGTGGCACATATACACCATGGAATATTCTGCAGCCATCAAAAACGATGAGTTCGTGTCCTTTGTAGGGACACGGATGAACCTGGAAACCATCATTCTCAGGAAACTGACACAAGAACAGAAAATCAAACACTGCATGTTCTCACTCATAGGCAGGTGTTGAACAATGAGAACACATGGACACAGGGAGGGGAGCACCACACACTGGGGTCTGTTGGGGGGAAATAGGGGAGGGACAGCGGGGGGTGGGGAGGTGGGGAGAGACAGCATGGGGAGAAATGCCAGATACAGGTGAAAGGGAGGAAGGCAGCAAATCACACTGCCACGTGTGTACCTATGCAACAATCTTGCATGTACTTCACATGTACCCCAAAACCTAAAATGCAATTAAAAAAGAAAAAAAAAAAGACCACCTGGTGGTCAAGCAGGCCATCAGAGGCAAAATTCCGTATCTGAGGAATTTAGAAGTAATTAGACTTCCCTATTATCTACAGTAGGCATCTGGTTCCAGGCTTCTTTTCAAAAAATGTGTAACTAGAATTTCTACACATCTCTAGAATGCATGCATATCAAAACTCCTTGTGCTGTGGCTCATGCCTATAATCCCAGAACTTTGGGAAGCCAAGGCTCGCTTGAGCTCAGGAGTTTAAGACCAGCCTGGCACCACAATGGCTTGAACCCCTGGGAGGCGAAGGTTGCAGTGAGCTGAGATCATGCCACTGTACACCAGCCTAGATGACAGAGTGATACTCTGTCTTTAAAAAAAAATTTTTTAAAGACCAACATGGGCAATACAGTGAGACCCTACCTCTATTAGGCTGAGGCAGGCAGAAAACGAGGTCAGGAGTTCAAGACCAGCCTAACCAACAGGGTGAAACCTTCTCTCTACTAAAAATACAAAAATTAGCTGGGTGTGGTGGCACACACCTGTAATCCCAGCTACTCAGGCGGCTGAGGCAGGAGAATCGCTTGAACCTGGGAGGCAGAGGTTGCAGTGAGCACAGATCACACACCACTTCACTCTAGCCTGGGCAAAAAAGCAAGACTCCATCTTAAAAAAATAAAGAAATAAAATAAAAAGTTCAGGCACAGTGGCTCACACCTGTAATCCCAGCACTTTGAGAGGCCGAGGTGGGTGGATCACCTGAGGTCAGGAGTTCGAGACCAGTCTGACCAACATGGTGAAACCCCATTTCTACCAAAAATACAAAAATTAGGTGGGAGCTGGGGCGGGCACCTGTAATCCCAGCTACATGAGAGGCTGACGCAGGAGAATGGCTTGAACCTGGGAGGTGGAGGTTGCAGTGAGCTGAGGTCGTGCCATTGCACTCCATCCTGGGCAACAAGAGTGAAACACCATCACAAAAAAATAAATAAATAAATAAAAAGAAACTCATTGTGCCAAACTTGTTCACAGTAAGGCACCAAAATCTCTACAAATGTAACCATTAATCATGGCCTATGTGACCAATAAGGTCCCAATTACCCTTACGCTCTTGCTTGAACGTCCATATATACAATTTCCAAAACACTCTAGGATCCAGCCACATCTCATCACCTCCACGGCCTCCAGGTCCCCGCCAGGACTCACCTAGACCAGTCAGTCCAGTTGCTCCCACCCTGGTCTCCCTTTATCCGCCCTCAAACCCACAGTTTGCCTCCCCACAGCAGCCAGATCACACTACAACTTCCCCGTGGAGGATGCTTTAATGGCTCCCAAAGTCCCTTCTAGAGCCTCTGATGGCAGGGGCTCTGGGGAAGGCCCTAGCCCAGTCCCCTCCCTTGCCCAGATAGACCTTGGCAAAAATGGCCATCAATGGGCACAACTCCTAAATGTTCTCCTTTAAGGAATGGCCTTCTGTGGTCCTACCAAACTTAACTTACAGGGACACCCAGGAGCTTGGCCTGGGCCTTTGCCATCTTTTTTTTTTTTTTTTTTTTTGAGACAGGTCTTATTCTGTCACCAGGCTGGAGTGCAGTAGTATAACCATAGCTCACTGCAGCCTTCAACTCCTGGGGTCAAGTGATCCTCCTGCCTCAGCCTCCTGTGCAGGACTACAGATGCACACTACCACATCCAGCTAATTATTTTATTTTTGGTAGAGATGGAGTCTTCCTATATTGCCGAGGCTGGTCTTGAACTCCTGGCTTTAAGCAAGCCTCCTGCCTCGGCCTCCCAAGTGCTAAGATTACAGGTGCAAACTGTACTGCACCCAACCCTTTGTCATCTACCTTATCTTCACTTGGGAAAAGTGAGAAAATTAAGACTTAGTTACTATGACAGCTAAGCAACTGTTACAACCACCAAGGTCAGGGTCAGGTTCTCTCACCACCCCAGCCCCTGACCCCCAGGACACAGGGACTTACCTGATTCCACGTGGCAAAGTTGACTTTATCAGCTGCATTAAAAGCCATGATGTTATATTTTTTGGTTGTATTCCTAGAGTGGATTAGAAGAGATAGCACCAATCCATCAATTCAATTCAATCATGAATTTAGTCAATGTGAACAAATCATTAATACAATCAGTCATTCAATTGGATCGTTAATTCAATCAAATCATTGATCCAATCGTTCCATTCAACTGAATCATTAATTCAATCATTCCATTCCACTGAATCATTAATTCAGTCACTCAACAAACCCACTCTGGTTCATTCAGTCTGTTTTGCCTGTCAATACTGGATACGGAAGACTGCAAGAATTCCCAGTCTGCCAGAGAAGCTAGACCCATCCCCTCTTAACCGCATGCAGATGAAGAACAAATGGAAGAACAAAGATTGGGGGAAACCCAAGATGTGGAGATTATTGGGAACTCAGCCTTGGGGAGGAGGGAGGACAGTCAAGGAGTGCTTCCTGGAGGAAGACGATACTGGAGCTGAGTTTTGCAGAATCAACAAGAATTCACCCAGCAGAGTCACAGCTTGGGGGTTGAGGGGAGGCACTCATGGCAGAGGGAACAGGATGTACAAAGGCCTGGAAAGGAAAGGCAGCCTGCTCACTTTGAAACAGGACGAGGAATATGTCCTGACATCTACAGCCTGGGTATCATGGCATCATATGCTCTCGAACGTTAGGCCAGGAGGCTGAATCGTGCTGTGTATTAATGCACTCATTCACACAAAAAGCAGTGTTTGCCTCCAGAGAAGCCTCAGCTTAATCGCCGCCCTGCCCTCCAAGTCTCCCCCGGTCTGGAGGGAGAACCACAGACAGGGCCAGAAACGCCAGGCTAAAAAGACCGTAAAGGTTTTCATTTTTGCGGGGTGGAGAGGAGTGGGAGATGGGGTTGGGGATTTACTTCGGAACTCGAACGACGTATTCAGTGACGTTCTGGCTGCTGGGGCCCTGCGGAGAGAGGAAGCGGACGGTGAGTGAGGTGCCGCCGAGGTTGCCGCCGGGACCCCCGAACCCCGCCAAATCCACACTCACTAGGGCCGCCATGGGCAATGGTCAGCGGTTCCGATCTGGTCCGACCCGGGTTCCTTTCTTCTCCTCTGGCTAGCGCGTCCCTCGATCTCGCGGAAGCCGCGGCTCGGTGTCTAGTCTCTCTGTTCCGGGAGTCGCGTGAGGATTCCAACCCTAGGCGCCTCTGGCACTGGGAAAGGGTAACCGGAATAGCCGCTATTCCGTCTACGCCTCCGCGGCCGCCTAACCCGGAAACGAAACCCTCCAGCGGCCGCGTTGCGATGGCAACCTTCTCAGCGGCTGTGGCCAACTCAATGCGCCGTCACTTATGTTTCTTGGCGTCTATGGCCACCTCAAAAGAGCCAACCCGGTCCCTTAGACGCAACAACAAGGCCGAGTGTGAGATAAAATAACCGACCTCGGTCGCTAGCGCTCGTATATACAATGAGGTCATCAAATGTGGGACCGCCCCCCTTCGTGACGTCAGCACCCAAGGACCGCGGGGCATCCTGGGGGGGGAAGAAAGAAACTAGTCCTCCTAGCGCTTTGCGCATGCGCCATGCCCCTCGGGACGCTGGGGCCTAGAAGGCCGCGTCACCATAGCAACTGAGGCCTACTCGGGTCCAGTCAAACTGCCGCTTGGCTCGGTTCCCCATGGGCCTGTTTGGGGTTCGTTTCCTCTACCTGCCTAGAAGGGGTGGACCCCGTCATTCCCGCAAAATGACGGGGGCGGGGACGCTTGTGACGTTGAGCCGAGCCAGGAGGGTCAGAGCCTGGGCGGAATCGGGGCGCGACCACTCCAAGGGCTGCTGGCGAGATGGGTCTCTGCAAGTCCAAGCTGCCCCAAATGGGCAGGGCCCTGAGGCTCCAGGAGAAGAGTAACGTCGCGGGGTGGCTGGCTGGCTGGCTTACTGGGGGGAAGGGAATGAGGCTGCAGAGGACGGGAGGGAGGTGCAAGCTCCCCTACCCCATTCCAGGCGTGCACACACCCCTCAAGCATGGCAGTAACACAATTGCGCATGCTCACAGCACAACCGTTCCTAGCTCTAGTTCGGAAATACTCAAGCACGCTGCTGGGTTCCGGGCTCCGCCAGGTGAATCTATCAAGCCAGCTCTCTGTTCTCTGAGGGTTACAGTGTCGTGGAGGAAACTCATAAAATGGGAATCTACAACCCAGGAAGGAACGAGAGAAGCACAGCGGGGCTCTGAGGACTCAGAGAAGAGGGGAGGTTTCAGTTGGCCACTGAGGGATGCATAGGAGTTAGCTACGCAAAGGGAAGGGGAGCAGAACACAAAAGTTGGGCCATGAGCTACAGACACCGTCGATGTGTCTGGTTTCATTTATTCCTCATCCACCACTAAATGTCAAGAACTGCCAACTCCTCGGAATATAGGAGTGAGAGAGGCAGAAATAGTCTGGGGTGTAAACTTTTTCTTTTTTATTCCTGGAGTGGATTACTGTAGGGGGGAGACCCCATAAGTTTCGAGGCAGGAGTCAGAAGCCTCAGCCTATTCCCATATAAATAATGAAGAAGAAAATAACTAGAAATATAACAATAGTTGTTATTCATAGGTGATCTTATTCATAGGTGATCTTAGTTATTCATAGGTGATCTTAGTTCTTTTACTAATGCTTTTCCGCCTGTCAGGCCCATGTAAGGGTGGCTGGAGGGCGCTGGGAAAGTGCCCGCTGTTTAGCCAGCTAGAGAAGGATACGTTCAAGATGGTCAATATGTCTGCTTGCTCTGGGGAGTTAGGAGAAAACTCCGCTCCTCCAAGCTCTTGTGGTGGGCCTGACGACTGTCAGGTAGGCCTGCAGACATCCGGGGGCTTAATTGTCTCTATGTGATGCCGTGCTTCAGTGGTCACATTCCCTGTCCACTCTCATTTTCCGCTTCTGCAACTGGTTCCTTTTTTCTTAGAAGATACAATCAGTAAAATAATATAAATCTTTTTTTTTTTTTTTGAGATGGAGTTTTGCTCTTGTTACCCAGGCTGGAGTGCAATGGCGCGATCTCGGCTCACGGCAACCTCTGCCTCCTGGGTTCAAGCAATTCACCTGCCTCAGCCTCCGGAGTAGCTGGGACTACAGGCCTGTGCCACCATGCCCAGCTAATTTTTGTATTTTTAGTAGAGACGGGGTTTCACCATGTTGACCAGGATGGTCTCGATGTCTTGACCTCGTGATCCACCCGTCTCAGCCTCCCAAAGTGCTGGGATTATAGGTGTGAGCCACCGCGCCTGACCTAAGAATATAAATCTTAATGTCTTTGTTCTTTCTTGACAAGCATGGAAAAGTGCTGATGCATTACACTACTGGAAAGCCTTAGGCCCCTACCTGTAGGACACGTGATGTACTTGACCCTATCACTGACCACCAATGCCACGTTCTAACTACCCTGACCCCAGCTTTGTACTCAATAAAAGTCAGAGTGTTTGGACACTCAGGGCCACTGTGAGACTCCATGTTTGGTTGGCAGTGGACCCCTGGGCCCAAACTCTCTTTTCTTCTTTCCTTTTTTTTTAAAGATGGGGTTTCGCCATGATGGCCAGGCTGGTCTTGAACTCCTGACTTCAGGTGATCCACCCACCTCAGCCTCCCAAAGTGCTAGGATTACAGGCATGAGCCACTGCGCCCGGCCCAAACTCTCTTTTCTCTATCTCTGTGTCTGTGTCTTTTATTTCTAGTTTCCCGTCTCCACACCAGCAGAGAGATGCTCAAAGGACCCTGTAGGGCTGAAACCTACAGATTAGAAGAGGTAGTGTCAATCCAATACATCAATTCAATCATTAATCAATGCGAATGAATCATTAATTCAGTCATTTAATTGGATTGCTAATTCAATCAAATCATTAATTCAATCACTCGGGTCAATTCAGTTGTTCTGTTCAATTGAATCATTAGTTCAGTTGCCCTCATGGAGTCGAGTCTGGCTTAGGGGAGACAAGAAGCAGTAAACAGGAAGATCATGACTGACTTTGGCCATTGCTCTTGGGGAAATAGGGTTCTCAGACAAGGAGTGATGGGGGAAAACTCTAAACGGAGGCTAGAGAAGGCCAGATGGAAGTTGTGAGTTGTGGCCAGAGGAACTGGGACAGGCAGGGATTTTCAGGTGGAGGGAACAGCAAGGAGAAGTGAGTAGGTTTTTTCCTTTTTTTTTTTTTTGAGATGGACTCTCACTCTGTCGCCCTGGCTGGAGTGGAATGGCGCGATCCTGGCTCACTGCAACCTCCGCCTCCCGGGATCAAGTGATCCTCCTGCCTCAGCCACCTGAGTAGCTAGGACTACAGGCGCACACCACCATGCCCAGCTAATTTTTATATTTTTAGTTGAGATGGGGTTTCACCATGTTGGTCAGGCTGGTCTCAAACTCCTGACCTCATGATCCCCTGACCTGGGCCTCCCAAAGTGCTAGAATTACAGGCGTGAGCCACAGTGCCTGGTTTGTGAGATTCAAATTCAAAGAACTGAAGCTCTCTAGGGCTAGGACAGAGGGAAGATTGGGGAGGGGAGTATGGGATGAGTCTGGGGGCATGGGCAACGTCCCTGCCTCTCTCTGAACCTGAGTTCCCTCAACTGTAAAGTGGGATAAGAGTCCTGGGGGGGTGCTTCAAGGAGATGCCATGTGCAAAGGGCCTGGCCTGCTCAAGTTTACTTTTTTTTTTTTTTGAGATGGAGTCTTGCTCTGTTGCCCAGGCTAGAGTGCAGTAGTGAGAACTCGGCTCACTGCAACTTCCGCCTCTAGGGTTTAAGTGATTCAACTGCCTCAGCCGCCTGAGTAGCTGGGAGTATAGGTTTGTGCCACCAGGCCTGGCTAATTTTCTGTATTTTTATTAAAAATGGGGTTTCGCCGGGCGCGGTGGCTCAAGCCTGTAATCCCAGCAGTTTGGGAGGCCGAGGTGGGTGGATCACGAGGTCAAGAGATCAAGACCATCCTGGTCAACACGGTGAAACCCCGTCTCTACTAAAAATACAAAAAATTAGCTGGGCATGGTGGCGCGTGCCTGTAATCCCAGCTACTCAGGAGGCTGAGGCAGGAGAATTGCCTGAACCCAGGAGGCGGAGGTTGCGGTGAGCCGAGATTGCGCCATTGCACTCCAGCCTGCGTAACAAGAGCGAAACTCTGTCCCAAAAAAATAAATAAATAAAAATGGGGTTTCTTCATGTTGGCGAGGCTGGTCTCGAACTCATGACCTCAGGTGACCCACTTGCCTTGGCCTCCCAAAGTGCTGGGATTACAGGCGTGCGCCTGGCCCCAACGAGTTCTTAGAGCAAGTCTTGCCCTCAGGGCTGCAGATACAGAATTTACAAGATGCCAACATCAGAGTGGGAAAGAGAGGCATGGAGTCCTGCAAAACAAAGACATTTCTGGTCTAGGCATGGTGGCTCATGCCTGTAATCCCAGCACTTTGGGAGGCCAAGGCGGGCGGATCACGAGGTCAGGCATTCGAGTCCCGCCTGGCCAAAATTGTGAAACCCAGTCTCTACTAAAAATACAAAAAAAAAAAAAAAAAAAAATTAGCCAGGTATGGTGGTGTGCGCCTGTAATCCCAGCTACTCAGGAGGCTGAGGCAAGCGAATCACTTGAGCCTGGGAGGCAGAGGTTGCAGTGAGTCAAGACAGTGCCACTGCACTCCAGCCTGGCCGACAGAGTGAGGCTTAGTCTCAAAAAAAAAAAAAAAAAGAAAAAGAAACCTTTCGAAGAAGTCCTGGCACTTTGATGATGGGATCAAAGGTCTTGGGGGTCAGGGCAACTGTCCCATGTGCAGGTGGGGGCCCTGCTTCTTGTTCACACCTACAACCAAGGAGTTATGTCAAGCTCATAATTCCTTGTGGTGGGTTTAAAGGGCAAATCTCAGCCCTGCCTCAGGACTGGGCGTTCTCCAAGGGCAAAGGCCGGGCTCATTCATTTCTATGCCTGCCCCAGCCTCAGGCCAGTGCCCGGAAGAAAGCAGGTCCCCAGCTCCACTATCGAACTAGGTCTCAGAACAAAGGCTACAGACCACGGCTGGGGCCCCTTCAGGTCCACCAAAGTGATCAGTGTGGACTTTACAGCATCTCGCATTTTCCTTTTTGGATTCACGACCAACATTCGACAACAGGGACCTTCCACATCAAAACTCCCAGCTTCTGTTGAAAACCGACTGACTTGGCAACACAGGGCCTGCACGTCCCCATGGCAACAGCTGCGTGAACGCTTCCTGAGCTTTTATTGAGCCCCAGCACTGTTCTCCACACTCTGCACGGATGAACTCATCTTCCGGAATGTTCCAGGCATTAGCATCCCGATGCTTTGCAGAGCGATCGGGGAGCTGCAACAGGGTCACATGACGTAGGTGGTGGAGGCAAGGCTGAAGCCCAGGCAGCTCCACTCCCTCGGCCCCTATTTTTTAATTTTTATTATAGAGATGAGGGCCAGGCATGGTGGCTCACACCTGTAATCTCAACACTTTGGGAGGCCAATGTGGGCAGATCACTTGAGGTCA